AAAATTACTTTACATTAAAAAAAAAACAAGCTTAAAATTATTTCTAAATTTTTCAATCGATCTAAAAAATACCTTTTAATACTTATTTTTTATAAAAGCAGGATTATTATTTAACAGGATCAGGTTCAAGTTTTTATTATTAATAATTCTCATATAATTGTAGCCAGTTGCGGCGCTATTAACAGATTGTAAAAATGATGCTACCTTCTTCCAAGAAAATCCATTCGTGATCTGATCTGATCTTCGCCAAGTCAGCGCGAGTAGGCAGCTCTCTGCCATCGGTACTCAACGATCCAATATTCACTAACAATGTTTCTCCCCTTGTTAGTTTCGGTATCTACAAACAAGATATTTATATAAATAAAAGAAAAAATTAAAATTAATAAGCTAAGAACTCGATGTTATTCGAAGTTATTCGTACTGTGGTACTTACATTTAAACTTATAATTAATTTATTGATATTCACTTCACATATATACAAGCACTTTGGTCATTTTATCAAACCGTCTTTAGTGTTTTAACAATTTTATCGTTATAAATATCTATTTCAATATATATTGATTAAATTTTCAACATATATTATATATATATATATTTATTTATAAACTATGAAACAATTTTCAATGAATAAAACTGCTTATCTGATTAACTTTTTTTCAGTAATTTAGACGCAGAAACAAAAAAGAGCAAGCAAAGTAAATTGAGTATCGTTGCAAGATCAACGTTGTGCAAAGGACCTACCCTTGCGCCCTCACCCTATGTTCTCACATCCAATGAACGTTTGAGCAGATATGAGATTTCCAATTCGACGAATATCTGCGCCGATGATTTCAAGAGTTTACCCGATCAAACGATTAGCATGGCACAGAGTGAGCTCGATTTTAGTTCCGATACCTTAATAAAATCACATAATCAGTAAAATTTCTCATAGAATTATTACATCAATTAATAATGAGTAAGTATTTATGATACATGTTACTTACTATTTATTAGACCATCCGATACAGCAAATTACAGTTAGTTCTGTTCAACGAACAGAGACACAATATGGACAAGTTAGTTTACCTTCGCTGTCCTTGGATAGAATCCTAAACAAACTTCGATTCAAAAATCCAATCCTGGACGAACTTCGACTTCCATACAGCCTATTACCGACAATCGTAAGCGATCATGAAATACGTTTTGAAGAAACGTATTGCCAAGTGCTTTGATGTTTGAAGCCGCGGGCAACTGGTTGCCAGCTAAAATTCAGTAAGTAGCTTATTAGAAAAGAAGCAAACTTTAGGATACAAAGCAACAAATATCAGCACGGAAATAATAAATGGTTTACCGATTAAAAGCAAAGCGGCGTCCATAAATGCCGCGTTGTTAAGCATAGTAGCCATAAGAATGTCATGTCCAAGACAATCGATGAAGGAGACATGGCGAACCAATTCGAATCTTCCTTGACAAACCGGATACAAACAAGAGAATGAGTCTTCTTTACTGAAACCGCCGGATATGTAGCGTCCTGGCCGAGGACATTTTACGTTGTTGCACTCATAGATCTTTGCGTTTGCATATCCTGAAACGAGCAAAGTAATCAGATAACTTATTCTCTTTCTCCCTCACTTGCACGAGAGAACTTCTGACAAAGAGAGAAACTAATCAATCGCAACATGTCGATTTTTGAAATAATAATAATTTAACTCAACGTGAATTCGTGGTCCCTGTTTATAACTATTCAATAAGTATTATGTGGTAATAATTAAATTAAGATTTGGCACAACTTGCAATACAAAGATTCATATATCGAATTAAATACATTACATGAAAAATGTAGTGCATCTAGATGTAATATATAACTATATATATTTATACTTAACTATATTTATTAATATTTATTTATACTTAGCTATACATATATTTATTTATACTTTTATATTTCATTCACCAAACAAGTGAACGAAGAAAGAAACACGACAGAATTGCATATGCGATATTCCAATATCTGTAATCAGTGTGCCATTATAAATTCAAATATTATTGTAAAATCATTGGATAGGCATGCTATAAATTTATGATGTGAATAGTTCATTACGCACAATAATTAACGCACATTATGATTAGAATTAAAAGAATTACGTGAGTATCGAGTTTTACATATAATGAAATACAGATTAACCTATTCAATCCAACAATAACAATCCAACAATAAAATTTTCAATCCAACAATCCAACAATAAAATTTTCTTAACATAAAAAAAAACAAGTTAGAATGATTGCTGAATTTTCAGTTAATCTAAGAAGTAATATGCCGCGAAAAATTGTAAACATATTATTAAATTATGTGTAATTATTTCGCAAGAAACTGAAGCAATTTTAATAGACAAATACTTAATTACTACAACGAATGCAATGAACACGTTGTAATAAAAAAAAATTGAAAGAGTTAACTCTGCGTGTTGCCAAATAAAAAGGACATTTATTTTAGAATGTAGTTTAAAGTATCGCGGAAATGTTTGTATACATATTATTACAAAAAAAATATGTCTAATATATAATTATAATTAAATAAATAAATAGAAAAATGAGAACATTCCTGAAATTTGAATTTTGGAATTTGGATTGTCGGAAAGGAACGATAAAAGAGATTCGATAAAATTATGATGCAATAAAAGAACTTATAATACTACATACATAATGATACAAAATTTTTTCTGTCACAAATAGCAAAATTTGACATGAAATATTGTACTTCATATTTATATTTCCATTATCAAAATAAAGATAAGTAATATACCAATGATCACTAGTTACATCAAATTCTAATAAAAAATAAATATATAAAAAATCGCTTTATATAAATTTATAAAAGTCACTTTCTTTGATTTCATACTTTTCTGTGAAGATTGGCTAAAGTAATGCATCATTTCTTTCTTTATCATTTCTAGATCAAATATGTTCAATAATTTAATTAGTTTATGTTAATAACCAGAAAATGTGTTAAACTTGAAAAAAGTCTTGTCTTGATCATCTTAAAAAATATTAAAAAAGATATTTGTTTTTGTGATAACTAAAAAGTACACTGTAAAAAATTCAGTAAATTTACACAAATAATAAATATAAAAATTAGATATTTAATATTAATCAATTGTGAATATAAAAAAGTTATTGAAATTTTACAAAAATTATATAATTTCACAAAAATTATGTAGTTTTGTCTTTTATTGTGTAAGCGATAGAATATTTTGAAGATCTTAAGTAATTATCCAAATTTTTATAATATTATAGACAGCATAAACGGTAATATTCCGCAAATTACAGTAACATTTTATCAATATAATAAATTTACAATTAAATTACGACCCAAATGTGTATTTAATAATATACAAAAAGTATTACTACATTACCATTTATATATTATATAATTTTATATTCTATTGTAAATTAACTTTTGCAATTTTTAATTAGATTAGAAGAAATTAAGTTCGCAAATGCGTGAAAATTTACCCGTATAATAGTTGGTCTCAAATTTACTCACTATAATATAAAATTACTCACCATAATAGTTCTAATATTAAACTAAAATTTTGTACAGTGTAGTTTTGTTGTGTATATATTTCAGATTGTCTTATCACCGCAAAAAAATTTGGTTTCTAGAACGAATTATTTTTTTCAGTATCAAATATGGTAAAAACAGTTAAAAGACAAATCATGACAAAAAAGTTATTGTTCTTTATGAGTCAGCGTGATCATTCGCAGATTAATGACGATCTAAGAATGTTCTAAAAATATACACTTCTAACATTGTGCAATAGCACATTCTTCATCAAATATTCGTCGTGCACATACCGAAAGTCCCACAAGAAATTGTCGATTAAGGTATTATATTTATAAAAGGGTATTTCTTCTATCAGGCTCTTTTTATCAGGATTCATTATTTTATACATTTCACATAATTCTATAAATTTGACCCGCAGCTGAGATCTTATAACGCACGCGCAAGCGATTATTTCCAGATTCTCTGTGCTCTCAAATTCCAGTGTATCTGCAAGAAATACACAGCGTATTTTGTTACGATTTGTTTCACGGAAAATTCTCCACATAAAAATTGAAGCGAGAGATGTATTTCCTTAGTCGTTCTCTAAATGAACGCTTTGATATATACAACACGTAAAACGTCATAATCAATATAAATTTCAGAAAAATATAGAATTTTCCCTGTTTTGAATAAATAAGTAATATAAAATTGATAAAATAAGTAATGATGTAAATAAAAGATTACTTGTACTTTAAAATTTAATCGAAAATAATGCTTATTAATTACGATATTATAAATTCTGCTTCTGTATTGGAGAAACATTTTCATCGGTAGAAAAACAAACTTTGTAAAATGGTACCATCTGTAAAAAAATGGCATAACGGTTTCTTACCGTTTTCTTCGATTTTTTTCTGGAGCCTATCGGAATAGCTAAGAGCATTGAAATTAAGAAAAATTTGAATAACGCGAAAATCGATAAGCATCGAAGAAAGTCCGAATGTTGCTTCAATTTTGACTGCTTTATGTTTGCTAAAGAAGCACAATAAATCAATCATCAGTGTAGTAGCCTTCAAATAGAAAATAACTGAAAGAGAATTTAATAAAAAACATTTTGCATTATTAAATTTATAACTTAACTCACTGACTGTTCTAATGTACGAATTAATGTATCAAACTCAATGCAATAAATGTAACTTAAATTAATTAATTACAGAAAATGCAATTATAATTATATAGCATTCATCACACGACAAGTGTGCCAATGTAATATTTTACTAGAATCCTTTTTCATTTGTTATCCTTTTTATGATTTACAAACTTATTAAATTAAACATTTTTAGACATATTAAAATATATTCATTTGTAATAAAATATGTCTCGATATGTCTCTATTACATAATTTAACTCAAAATTCTCTAAAAATACAAGCTTATAAATTCATTTAACTTTAGAATACTAATTCGAGTCTTTTCGAGTCTTTCTGTGATATTATTCTTTACCTCTCTTTCCTTTGTATTGCAACATGTTTTCATGATATGAAGGAAAATTGATAAGCAATTTCAGCAAATCATTCCCCTTTTTGCACAATTTGACACATGTTAGAAAAGTGCCTGTAACAAATGTACGATATGTCTATTTTTTAATTTATCCTTTCTTCCTCCTTTTTTTAATAATTCCCATGCGTTATTCATTCAGAACCACTGACTTATTAAACTATTTAATAACCGAGAATAAAACTTGAAAAATATTCATCACTTAAAATAGTTTATTTACAATAATAGTTGTTTATTATCATTTTTATCTGTCTCTTTTATATATATATATTTCTCAATGAAAAGTGCTACTATTACATTCATTATTTTGATATTTTATACTCATACTAATTATGAACACATTCTTTCATACATATGAAGTATAAATTATAAAATATCTTTATGTTTAATAACATTTTAGCAGAAATTTTTTTAATTATAAAAGTTAGTTTTGAGTGAGTTAAGCTGCGTTATGTCGTTATAACATGCAGCACGTACAAATTTTGTTGCAATGGTTTATTTACCTTCATAATTTTCAATTAAAATATTTCCAATCTCATGCAAAAGATCAAGCCTTTCTTTTAACATCGGAATACAAGTCCCGTTATCACTTCGAAAAAAAATTTCGACATCTTCTGGTTTTTGAAAAAGTTCCTTGTAATATTTAGGGTTCCATACAGGCTTTCCTTCCTATTTTCACAAAAATTGCGCCAAAGAGATGTAAGCGAAATTTGAATACTTTAAAAATTATTTAATATATAATTTAATATTTAATATATAATACAACAAAACCACAGACACAGACATTTAACACGGATTATCACAACAAAATTACCATTTATAATATATTACCCTAACTTATACAACTTGCACAATTTGTATTCTTAAAGATACAAAACATACACACAAAGAAGATGCATGCATATGCGACATTTCAATATGACAGATAAGTTGAGGACAGATTTTCGATTTGAGTGATCCTTATTGCCAAAAAATAAGATTTTCCTAAGAACCATTGTACGGCGAGCATCTGTGCAAATTCTTCTCCAGATTATCTAATTTGAAATGTTTATTAAAAGCCGTTCGTATCACGGAGGATATGAACGTGAAATGGTCGTTGGGCGATTATAACGAGTATAGAAAATATCTAAAAAAATACATGCCGACTGTATCAAAAGGGAATTGAAAAAGAGGAATCGTCTGTTCGTCGAGAGAATAGCTCTTCATTTTGCTGAGGATCAACCGCAATAAGAAGCGGAAAGATGTAATTCGAAATTATTATACAACTGAGAAAACTTTGATTTAAACTCTGCAAAAATTCTTTCCAAAAAACTGCAAGCCTTTCCTCTCTAAAAGAAGAAAAGATCACATCTAATATACATTTTATTTCTTTTGCTTTTTATTTGAAACGTATCTATTTGATAATAAGATTAAAATCGAATAAACTTTATTTGCTTATTTTTAATATTCATATCGTCCATATGTCATTTCTAATCATATTTTTTCAAAAACGATTGCAAATATTAATTACAGATAAAATTCTTTTTATCACTTCAGATTATAAAAAAGGGTAAAATTTGCCAGAGACAGACAACTTTTTATTAAAGAACAACTGTTATAGCAGAAATTAAAAGTCCAAAAGCAGAGAGAGGAAGCATACAAAACGGTGCAGCGATTGAAATTGTTAAAACTCCTTAAACAAGAGGAACGAAGATTGAGAAATGTCAAGCGTAAAGAGCACGCCGAGAGGATTCGACAAAGGTACAAGATTGTTCGGCACAAGGTGATCGATATTAAGGTGAATTGGAAAATAAAGAATAAGGCGCGAAAGAAAGCTAGGAACAAACGGCTAATGGACATCAAATAACAAAAGCGAAAAATCATGGAAGAAAGGTATGAATTATGCGCTATCATTTGAACATAAAATAAACAACGTATCCCAAAATCTTTGATGTATAATTTAGTGACTTTGCTTAAACAAAAAGAATATTTTGATGGAAATCAAATTCCATACATTCGTGCATATTTCAGATGGAGAAAAAAGCAATATTTTCAAAAAGAAGATATTGCGATTAAAAAAATGTTATTGCAACGTATAAACACTCGACGTCAAAAGTTTATAGAGAATTATGATAAAAAAATAAATAAAGAAATCGCAAGAATGCAAAGTAAGATTGACGATTAATATGAGAAAAGACAAATGTTCCATCTTGAATAATAAAATAATCCATATTATCAATATACAATCGTTCGATAGTTTCTGGTTTTATGAGAATAATTTTTTGAAAATAATTTAATTCTAAATAATGGATTAATATTTATAAAAATCTTGCGGACAATAATTAATTATAAACTCATAACTTAAATTCATTATCTATAATATTTTGTGCTGGATTTTTGTATGATGTTAAACTGTTTACAAACTGTTACGCAAAAAAGCTTTTAACATACAGAAGGAAAGTCATTTGTTGCAAGAAATATTTTCGGAGCAATACGGTAAAACGCGTACTAAAGCATAAATAGAAGTACCTTTAAATAAATATGTTTTAAATTAAATGTTATTTTTATATTATATCGCAGAATAAAAAAGAAGCCAAAAGTAATATGCAAAATGCAATATATCCTTCGCCAAAACTCACAAAGTTAAAAAAGAACAAAGTACAAAATTAACATTTTTAATTTACTTTATCTATCTTACTTTAGTAAGATTCTATCTTACTGAAATATAAACTTCTTAATAGAAAATTATTGCTTGAAATAGCAGTCAAATGTTAATAATAAAATCGGAATTTCAAGACAAAAGAATAAACACATCTTAATAACAAAGTAAAGTAAAACAAAAGTGAAAGAATATTAAACAACCTTCAAATTTTAGCCAACAAAACAAAAAGTATGTAATATGCCTTTGCGTATACAATATATTAGTATTAAAAAAAGTGTCAAAATGTACAGTTAATGTTAGTTAACGCAGTATTATTTACACCTCAATACACAAGTAACAAGCAATCAACATCAATTATAGAAAATATTGATATTTTCAAACGTTAATCAAATCTGAATAAAATCTATGGGTGAAAATAAAAAAGTAATAAGCCTTTCTTAAAAAGTTTCCAATTCCTTAAATGTCCCTCCACTTGTTTATTTATATATACCATCGTACATAAACATTGTACTCACCATAATGGCTCTTTCCATTGCAGCGCAGAGTGCCAAGAATCCAGTAAATCCCTTAACAGTCCATGGATCGGTACCTTTCGGTGACCAGAGTGAAAAATTCAATGTGTGCAAGACAAAGATCCAATCCGCCGCTGTATCGTCGTTGATGTCGGGATACAAGTAATATCTTGTGAACTTGCTCGTGACTCTTTCGATATTAGCTCCATTTTGTATAACTTCATCCAGATACATTAGCACCTACGTAAATCAATTAAAATATTAGTGATACTTCTTTTACAATGGAAATTCTAAGAAGAAGCTTGTTTTTATTCGGCAGGAAATAATTTTTATTTTATTTTCAAACATTGCGTATTATTGACAGTGAAACGATGTCAAGTCGTCTGATATTTTTGTTGAATAATGTTGAATAAAGTTAGGTAGCTTATACGTAGAATAAATTTCTTCATAAATCATTTTTCTCGGAAAATGAATGCTTAATATAAAAACAGTTAATGCTTCTTCTCTTTGTTTTCTTTATTCCTTCATTCAATATTATTTTCTTATCGATTGTGTAATCAATTATTCCTGAAACAATCATTCAGAAATAAACAGAAAATTTCTTGAACACATCACCGTATCGAGGATCTCAGCTTCATTCTATACCTTTTCTAAATTCTCTTGAAACGAGATCGCATCACGACACTCGAATCGATTTTCAAAACCGCGCGCACCTATTCCTAACCTAAATTAAGAATTCTCCAAATGAATTGTCAAAATGTCACAAATCTTAACGAACTTATAAAGAAAATAGGAGTGCTTACATTCTGGGCGATTCGAATTATGCCTTCCTGTTTGATGAACACATCTGATGTTTCTTCCACGATTTGATCCATGGATTGCTGTGGTAACGAAACCTCGAATGGTAAGCTAAACGACATGACGATACTTCATCGATTGTTTCAAATTGTTGACTGCGAACATCTCGATCACGACTATCTCGACAAAGGTTCGATCACAACGGAACAAATAAACACGCGTAAAAGTCCGTTTTTCACATCGTCCCAACAGCCTACCTTGCGCGCCATAAGAATGACCTTTGAAATATGAGACTGACAGCGCCTCTAGCGACAATGTGCAATATTACATTAGCAATTTTAGATTTATTGACAATCGATATTAATCTTGCACCATGTTCTAATTCACTCCTAGAACCATTAGTTATTATACTGTAAATGTTTGAGCAGAAATCAATTAAACATGTAATTAGGACATTCAATACATGCCTAATGAATAGAAAATTTTCTTTACATTAAAAAAAAGCAGCACGAAATAATTGCTGAATTTTTTAATCAATCTAGACGGTAACATTTTTTAATACTTATCTTTTATAAAAGCAGGATTATTTTCCAATAGGATCAGGTTCAAGTATTTATTATAAATATTTCTCATATAATTGTGGCCAATTACGGTGTTAACAGATTGAAGAAATGGTTTCCTTCTTCCAAGGAAATCCATTTAAAATTGCAGCAGAATTACTTTCGATCTAGAATAGGATCTATTGTCTGACCGCCGCAAATCTGTCCCCATCCGATAAGACGCCAGTGCTTTTCCACGCGTCTGGACAACGCAATTTTCTCATCGACCTCCGTGCACACCGGATTCGTTAGGCTGATCTTCGCCAAGTCGGCGCGAGTAGCCAGCACTCTGCCACCGGTACTCAATGACCCGATATTCACTAACAATACTTCTCCCCTTGATAGTTTCGGTACCTACAATCAAGATATTTATATAAATAAAAGAAAATAATTAAAATTAATAGGCTAAGAACTCGATGTTATTCGAGGTTATTCGTACTGTGGTACTTACATTTAAACTTATAATTAATTTATTGACATTTACTTTACATATACACAAACGTTTTGATCATTTTATCAGACCATCTTCAGTATTTTAAAAATTTTTTTGTTATAAATCTCTATTTAAATGTATTGATTAAATTTTTGACATATATATATTTATAGACTATGAAACAATTTTCAATGAATTAAACTGCCTATCTGATTAATTTTTTCAGTAATTTAGACGCAGAAAGAAAAAAGCGAGTAAAGAAATTGAGTATCAGTACGAGATCAACATTGTGACTGCAAAGGACCTACCCTTGCGCCCTTTTTGTCGCCTTCAGTTCTCACGCCCAATAAACGCTTGAGCAGATAATACGAAATTTCCAATTCAATGAATATCTGCGGCAATGCGCCGACACTTCCAAGAATTTGCCCGACTAGACGATCAGCACGGCACAGGGTGGGCTCGATCTTAGTTCCGACACCTTAATAAAATCACACAATACGTAAGAATTCTCATAGAATTTCAATTAATCGTGAATATTTATGATACATGTTACTTACCAATTAGACCACCCGGTACAGCGAATTGCAGTTCGTTCTGTTCAGCGAACAGAGACACAATACGTGAGAATATCGGACGACAAGTTAGCTTCCCTTCGCTGTCCTTCGATACCAATCCTGGACGAACTTCGATTTCCATACCGACCTAGCATCGATAATCGCAAGCGATTATGAAATGCGTTTCGAAGAAACGTATTTTGCTTGGAAATAAATTAAGTTTGTACCTTTAGCACTCCTCTGAGAATACTACCACCAGCGACGCCGCCCTTCAAGTCATCCACCTCACAACCCGGTTTGTTCACATCAAATGATCGGATAACAATCAGTCGTGGCTCCGATGTGAAATCTCTCATTGGAACCGGGATCTTCTTAGTGATGTATTCGCATAATACTTCGATGTTGTATTTCAGCTGTGCCGAAATCGGAATTATTGGCGCGCCATCCGCCACAGTACCTAAATTTGGTAAGAATTATACGAATGAGAACAAATAGTATAGAACATGATACAAAATATAATCAATATCTATTGAACCCTTTAAAAACTGATATTAAAATATAAAAAAAAAACCGAAAATATTTTGACCCCATGAAGACAGTTTTATAAATATATAAAGTTCATACTTCGGATTTTATAGATGTAAAACTGTGTGAAAGTTTTATTAACATAATAATACCGAATAATACCTTGAATAAACTTCAAGATTTGTTCATATTGCTCCTTCGCTTGCGCTTCTTTCACCAAGTCAATTTTGTTTTGCAGGATAATTATGTGCTTTAGCTTCATAATTTCGATAGCCGCCAAGTGCTCTGATGTTTGAGGCTGTGGGCATGACTCGTTGCCAGCTAAAATTTAATAACAAACTTTGAGATGCAAGACAACAAATATCATCACGGAAATAATGTGTGACTGGTTTACCGATTAAAAGCAAAGCGGCGTCCATAACAGCCGCGCCGTTAAGCATAGTAGCCATAAGAATGTCGTGTCCAGGACAATCGACGAAGGAGACATGGCGAACCAATTCGAATCTTCCTTGACAAACCGGACGCAAACAAGGGAACGAGTCGTCTTTACTGGAACCGCCGGATATGTAGCGTCCTGGCCGAGGACATTTTGCGTTGTTGCACTCATAGATCTTTGCGTTTGCATATCCTGAAACGAGGAAAGTAATCAGATAACTTATTCTCTTCCTCCCTCACTTGCACGAGAAGATTTCTCTCGAAGAGAGAATCCAATGAATGACGCAACATGACAATTTTATGGTCAAATAAATTTAACACTTTTAGCGTGAATTCGTGAGTTTTAATATTTTGTTATAAAGGCACATGTGTAAAGGATATTTACAAATATCTTCTTTTTTCGACACTTTACATTGTAATTTCTTTACTTATAGTTTAGAGTTAGAAAGCTTATGATGAAAATACTAACTTAAAATAATTACATATTACATTTTGAAGCCGAATTATTACTCACATCGCCATAGATATAGAGATAATGTGTTATATAACACATGTCACATAAGCTCCCTTTAAAATAATAATTAACCCTTTGCATTTGAAGGTTTTTTTGCTATTCTCATAACCATTAAAACAGACTGAATTTAAAATAATAATTTTAAACACAATGCTGTACTTATGAAGTGCACACATAGATAATAGACTCAAACATCTAAAATGTAGAGGAAAGATATCTATTATTGTCGCCTCTCGAGTCGCCATTCGAATTGCTGCATTAAATCAAGTGGCGGATGAGAGTCGTGTGCAAAGAGTTTTACAAAATTAGATAAGATAAATGCGGTACCGTAATTTGTCTATGTGCAAATGTTTATTATCAAGTTCATCGACAACAACGATGTGTGTATAAATCTTATAGGATACATTCTCTTTGTTGGTTTGTCCTAATATAGGTTTTAACAGTTGATACATTATTAACGTGTAATAGAGTAGTTTTATACATGTGGACAGATGTAACAGAATAATAAGTGAGTTTCTTTGTAAAGGAAAAAGATACAGCGCAAAGTGCCACATGTACATCTCTTTTGGCAGTTCAAAAACTGTTGTCACAATTAACGATAATAATGACTTAACAGAAATAACTTATTTTATTATTTTATTCTAACGAGCAATGTGCACAACAAAACTCGCATCAATTTTTTATATATAATTCTGATAAGAGAAAAAAACGATAATTCTAACATGAAATAATTATTACAATTTATAACTAGGTATCCGGACCGAACCGGAATCGACACAAAAAAAAAACTGAAAAAGAAAACCGTAAACCGAAAATAATTTAGCCGATCCGATTATGATTCCGGTGAAAAAACAAAACAATTACGATTACGATTATGATTATGTGATTACGGTTCCGATTTCGGTTCGGTTCGAGTCCCTGTTTACTTTAACTATTCAATAAGTATTATATAGTAATAATTAAATTAAGATTTGGCACTAACTTGCAATACAAAGATTCATGTATCGGATTAAATACATTACATGAAAAATGTAGTGCATCTAGATGTAATATATAATAACTATTACATTCTCTCTGTCCGCCGTGTCTGAAATGAGCGATTCCTGCTGTCGGTAATCTCAACGTTTCTTATACAGTTGACCAGCAATTGACGCCGCGTCGTGATTATATTGTATATTATTTCCCGGGCCCACTGTAATGCCCGTTAATTGCAGATTCTTGAAATTATCTTAATATCAAAATGTCGAGTACAATTTGATATTGAGATTTTCATCTCCAAATAACCTCAGGTATCTGCCATCAACAGGTGTTACGGTCTGGGACATCTAATATAAAAAAATTCTTACAATAATTTTATAATTACTTGGTGCAATCAGAATACTTCATATTTATACAATCAAAAACAATTCAAAACAACATTTTTTAAATCTGCATTAAATTTTTTTATCTAAATTACATCACTGTGCGCTATGCGCTCGAGATGCAATATCGAAAATTTTCTTTATCTAGAAATAGATTAAAAGCTTCAATCGCTTAGCACACGGACAAGTCATTAAGTAGTCCCGACTGTGCGAGCAAAAGTAAAATAAATATGCTCATAAATTTCACAATGGCTATAATATACAATTTTCTGAAGATATAATTAACGTGTTAATGAACACAGAGATATCGAGACATCGCATATGTATGTACTTGTGTCTCAGTACGCACTCTTAGAATTCTTATATAATAATATTATTTCAAGACATGTAGCTTCTACGCTTAGGTGATCGATTCAAATCTGCAGTATTCTGTTTCTGAAAATGTCTTTCTGATAAATATCAATTGTATCATTAATATTTAGAATCTAATATATAATCGAAATACCAACAGTAATACTGCAAATCTAGCATAAAATAATATATGTCCACAAATAGATACGTGAGAAAGATGCAGACATACTCCAAAAAAAATTATTTAATACCCTAAGAAAAAAAATGAACTACTAAAACAAAAATCGACTAATTTTTCTGCTATAATGTCCAGAAACAAAATTCTTATTTTTAATGTTACGATGTTTGAGAAACACGTTTTTTATGCTATCCTTTTGGCGTTTGTGTTTACTTTCATCGGAATGTAAAGATGAAAACATAGAATTGATATTAAAACAAAACCACGCAACAAACAGGTTTGTCGCATCTTCACAACTTTTAGTATATTCCAGAAACTTAACAGCTATTATTTTCGATATATAATATTCAATAATACGAATAAAAAATGAAATGTACAGTCTTCTTCATCTCGCTGCGTTATTTCTTTTTGTTTTCCTTCTTTCCAGTTCATAACGATAAACAGTTTAATCTACAGCATTTAAAAATTTGTATCTTGAAGTCTCATTTCTCTATTAGAGATAATAAAGCCAAAATAAAATCGTTATTCGCCGTCGCAACAATTGCTAAATCATATACTAAATCATCAAGAAAAAACTGTAATAAAATATATAGTAATGACATCTTGGAAATTTTTATATTATATCTGCAAATTATGCTTTCGCACATTATTTTTCTCGAAAGATTATTTTAAAATTGACCGATTAAAATTAATTACTACAGAGTTGCAGTAATCAAAAGGATACATAACGCGATTATGGTCGATAAAATCAATTGCTTGCGAATTATAATTATGAATGTTTACTTTAATACGGTTGGCAGTTTTAAATTAAAAAATGAAATTTAATACGAATATATTCCGATTAAAAAATGAAAAATAAATTTGGAAAGATAATCGACGACAAAGTGTTGAATAAACTGTTTAACTGAGTTATTCTTAAATTAACTAACTCCGAGTGATGTTTTCTTTTTTTTAGATTATAGATGCTAATTCAATAAACAAAATAAGATCAGAGTCAACGCTAATGTAACATTGATATAAGCGATTCGCTTAAGGTACACACGTTTCGATAAAAATATTTCTTAAAATAAGTACCGCCGGCATGTCGCCGCGCCGCATTTGCATGGAATTCTATTCGCCGAAACACCATTTTCAGCATTCGGTTCGTCATCCAATAATTGCTGCTGCATCTTCTGACACGTGTAATCGAAGGTGAGCTCCTCGTTTTGTTTAATGTTCTTGGTAGCAAATAACGCGAGATTCGGTAGATTCGGGTCGAGACAGTTGATCCAGATCGCGTAGACTGCAAGATTTGGATCGCACGAGTGATTGATGAAGTGCGACACGTTGCCGTACATGGCGGCATCCACGGTGTACGGGCACTGTTCGTCGGTTTCGTTGTAATCGAGATCGAACAAGTACGTACGACCGGTCACGTTGTACTGCTTGCCACGTTTTTCCGCCTCCTCGCTATTGATCACCTCGCCCACGTATTGTGTGACGAAAGTGCCCTTCTTGATGGCACGCAGAGTACGCACGCCCCAGCCACGGCCATTGTCCGTACGAAAGATGCACAATTGTGCATTGGTACCACGTTGCACCACTCGATTCCGGCAAGTGAGCACGTCGCAGGCGCAACGTTTGTTGCATTCGTAAATAGGAGTGCCGGGCGGCACGCGCACTCGGAACGCCGTTGTATATGGCAACGACGACGCACCGTTCTGTGCGAAGCAGCAGCCGGACTTGTCGCTGGATTCACAAACGTTGCACTCGCAGCCGATCGGCGGATCGTCCGGTATTATCACGCTATTGCCCGGCAGATAACTGTCGATGTAAAAAAAATCTTTCGGCGCACCCTCCAGATCCACCAGATTCTCCACCTGTATCTTTGGCTTGCCCTGTGAAATATTGTTCATCTCGTTCTCCCAATCGTGCAGTGAATCGAGCTGGTCACGCCGCATTTCGATCAGCTGCATGCAGAGGATATGCTGCTTGATCTTTGGTCCTAGTTTACCGCGGCGCGACGAATACTTGAAATAACGTCGAATATAGTTGTACACATCGTCCCCGGCGAAAGCGGATATGATGTTATCGACTGTCATATTCTTGCATCGCATCTGAGCCAGAAAGTGCTCCACGTCGCGTGCGTTCGGATAGAAGTTTACTTTCGTTTTGAACTGATTGATCAGCATCCGCTGTTCGTTCTCGAACTGGCACAGTAAATCGTTGCAATTGACTAGATTGCACAGCGGCTCCCACGTGTTGTGCTGTGCATCCCAGTTTTTCCATTTAATCAGATAGAGCGAACTGCCGTTCTGCTCACGCTTCTGTATGATTTTCTCTACCTCCCAGAGGTTATTCTGCTTACTAGTCGTGGAAGGAAGCTGTTTGTCCGATGCATCTACTGCCGACTTATTCTTGCTGTGCATAAAGTCGTGTAGCAACACCCGCACCTCCTTCAATTCGGAGGTGTGTAAACTTAAACCATCCTCTCGCACAGACGATCTATCGTCGGACGATGACTCCTCGTAGTCCGATTGTCGGCCATCACTGCCCATATCCCTCGTCCCAACACTTCTGCGTAAACAAGAATCGCCGTTAAACGCTTCGAGTGCCTGTTGCGTGATGACTCTTCGTCTAGTTCGCAGACGTTTCGACACTGACGAAATGCGGAGTACATTCTTGTCGTCCGGCCGGTGGAATATGTTGTCATGGCTCTCTGTGTCGAAAAGCCTGGGCTGCTTGGCGCATGACGGCGCGTCAATGCCTCCATCAGCAGGGGAGAGATGTCGTTTTTGGTAAACGGCCGGCGTATCGCTAATTATGCCGCCAGTTATATCTGCCGAATCGCCGCTGCTACCGCAGTCCTCCGCGTCTGCAATGCCAAACATTTAAAGAGCGTCATTTCCTATTCGATTTTTTTTCTCTTCCTCTTTTAACACGTACGACGACTCTCCCCTATTTTTCTCACCCATTTTTCCTTCTCTTATATCTTTTTATTTTCGTTTTTGGCCTCTTTGACCTTTTTTCTTTTCATTCTCCTTTCTCTTTTTCTCTGGACGAGAATAACAACGAATAACGCCAAAGTGCTTTGCTCATGCTGTGATTATCGATTTAGATTGAATGTGACGACACGTGCAATTCTAGGTCGCTTCTTAGAAGATTCTGGTTTTTTATCCTACGCGTAACTTCAATGATCAACAAAATATCGGTTTGCACATTTACATAATATATTTTTCAATTAATATACTATAATATCATTTTGGTTTACACTCTAATATAAAACAAACTCTCTTGACCTAAATATCGTACAGAGCACTTATAAGAAGCTGCCAGATATTTTGTTATAATTCCAGAAAATATAATATGTAACGATGAACAAATATACGAATGTATATAAACATCAATTATTGTTATATTGGGTTAGTACCATTATTTGTGACACGCCGCAGTTTTAATCTTAAGTGAAGAGATTAACATATATATTCTAATAAAAATAAATACACAAAACAAAATAACAACATATGAAATCGCATTTAAAAAATGTGTACATTAAATCTTCAATATGCAATATGATGTGTATTAAAGCAAAAAGCATTTTAACAATCCGCATAATTACATTCCTAATTATAACAGTGGTGGCATTTAAATATCAATTAATTTTCAATTTTATAGTAAGCATAAAAATTATTACTTACCTTCCTTATCTCGAATTCTTTCACATTAAAGTGCACATTTCAATTATTTAAAATAACTATTAAGTGACTTAAATTACTAATTATTTAAGTTAATTAACAGTTATTTTATTTTATAAGTATATTTAACATAAAAAAAATAATTTTTTACTTCTCACTTGTGACATTAAAAAAAATTTAATCTATTCAATTAAGTCTTCTATTGTTTATAGTACTTTTATAAAAAATACATTATTACAAAAATGGTTTTGCAAACGCACTCACATATACACATATATATTTCTTTGCATCAAAAAAATTGTGCAATATGCAATAAAAAAATTATTCAATATATTAAATCACACTCACCAAGCTTAATAGTGATATTCCTTTCCAGTTCATTCTTAAAACGTACAGTTTGTACCCCTGAAATAGCTTTTACAATTGTCGATTTTCCATGTGCTACATGTCCAATAGTTCCTGTAATAGATGTTTACATTTTTCTATGTTTTACAATCAAATATCATAATATACTATAGAGTGGCAAAATTACACATATGATAGAATTACAATAAGATAACTAAGTCTCAAATTAATAAAATCTTACATACTCACCAATATTAATTGTAGCTTGTCTGCTTATTACTTCGCGTGACAATGCAGTTAATTTACTAACATCCTGTACACAAAAGCAGAGAATAAATAAATTAATTTTATATATTTCTTAATAGCAATAGTAATTTTACAAATAATCAAATAAAATTTAAGTAATACAATTACAATTATATTAAGATACTGTTACTACTAATCTAAATAACATAAATTTAACATTCAAATATTAATATAAAATCAGAAACTCATATCTACAAAAAAAATCAAATTAAAGAAACATTTTTAATTGGTTTTTGAAAATAAAAAAAGTCCTTTTACTTTTTATTCTTTTTTTCAGTAAAAAAATTGATAAGTTTATCATAAAAATTTAGAATATGTCTCCAGTCAGAAAAAGATAAATGACTTTCCTGTCATATATGTGATTACAATATTTACAAAATCCATAATTACAATTTAAAATATTACTGCATTGTGTATAATGATGCATTTTCATAAAATATAAACAGTATTAACTTTTCCAGTATTAACTTTCAGTGGTGGTTTCTGTATGGCAGTTCTGTATGATTCATTATGAGCAATTTTTTCACCTTTTGTTTTATACATTTCTAGAACGTTTTATTTTAAATAAGCATGCAATTATACTTTTTAAATATTTTGATACTAAGATCTAAAAAGTGACCACCACTCAAAGTTAATACTGGAAAAGTTAATACTGTTTATATTTTATGAAAATGCATCATTATACACAATGCAGTAATATTGCAGTAATATGCAGTAATCTGCAGTAATATTTTAAATTATAATTATGGATTTTGTAAATATTGTAATCACATATATGACAGGAATGTTATTAAAAGCATAATTTGATTAATAGAAAATGAGAAAGAAAGTAGTACATAATTGATCTACGTTGGTACTAAGCTAAATATATTCCATTAAATAATAAAATTGCAGTTCTTCCTGTCTAAATTACAGTTTGATCAATAATTGACAAAAAAATTAAAAAAAATAAATCTCTTCACGTAGCCTAATTGCCAACTGGCGATAAAAATCCTTGGGAAAATTCGCGCCCATAATTTTTTACAAAAAAAAAAAAACTTATTAGGAACTCAAGTTATTTTGTATATTTTCTATTCTTTGAAATTTCGAATAACCATTATATGAATTTTATTAATGATAATAAATAGACCAAAGCATTATTCCATAGATATCTGGGTTAGAGCATTGTCGCGATGAAACAATATGCTGATCGCGTGAGAAAGTACGAGGAGGTTAAGTCGTAACGAGTCGAGCAAGCTAACGCGGCGACGGTAACCGCTACTTACGAGCTTGGACAGATCTTGTTTGTAGAGATTAGGTTGGCCGGTAGTTACACCCAATCCTTCCTCGCCGCCCATTTTCCACGACTAATGAATTGATATTCTCTCGTTTACGTTTAATCGCACGAGGATTTTCACAGCCAAAATATCTCTCATAAAAAAACTGAGTGGTTCAGCTGATGATCAAACGGAGCCGACAAGAACCGATGATTTTAACTTCTACAGACTGCATAAGTTGGCATAAGCACAGATGTCTATACTAGTACTAGATCGCTAGCTTCGTCAAAAGGCTGGCCGGATTTCCGGTTTCGGCCATGACACCCTACAACAAAATGGCGACAATGCGTGTGTAATGTGTATAGGCCCTCACACACAAAATGACATAACTGCATATGCATAGCATAAGACCGTCTCGACCAATGAACATCTAGCATAAAGGTGCCATATTGATTTACATAGCATGTTCATTGGTCGAGACGGTCTTATGCTATGCATATGCAGTTATGTCATTTTGTGTGTGATGGCCTTATATCTGTACGTGCGTATGCACATGTGATACCCGGCGTGGTGATACAAATTGATAATATTGTAAAATTCTTGAAAGATGCCGAGCAGTTGTTGAGCAGTTGTTGAGCAGTTGCTGAGCAGTTGTTGAGCAGTTGTTGAGCGGCCATTTTGTTGTAGGGTGTCATGGCCGAAACCGGAAATCCTGCCAGCCTCAGTTTTTTCATATATATATACGTCAAAGCCTAAAGTTAGCGATCTAGTACTAGTATAGACACTGTGGGCATAAGTAACAAGCTGAAACCACGCTAGTGTCGCCAACTCCCGCCAAGCGCTTTGTAACTAGCCGTTTTCATTGACGCGACAAGTCGAATGATGCTCACGGTAAAGCAATTGCGCTCTCTTGCGATTGGTGGATTTTTTTGTTGTCCAAACGATGTCCGTATTTAAATTTCCCAATTTATAGATTTCTAATCTAAACAATAACAATTAAATTCAATAACTTTACTCTTTTTACTGATTATAGCTTTATACGCGTAATCTCAATATATTACTTGCTATAAATTATTTAACAATTTTATGGATATAGAATTTGTTATATAACTAGACATACACAACTACTGTTTTATTGAAACATGCGCTTTTATAATTCGGTTGATTTATTGAACAACTTGGACATATAAATAACAGATAATAAGTATATACCATTCTTGATGTTTACAAAGTAACTCTGAAGATCGAAGTCCATCCAAGTTGATCGAGAATTTAATATTTCGGCAGCTTAACATATGTTCACAGCTTTCCTCTCCGTTCTTTTTTCTCCAGCAACATATTTTCATTCTAGTTACCGTCTCTATAAATTGAGAAACTAATATTTCTTTGAAATATTCTTAAGCCAGCGCAGCGGCACCAGAGATAATTTCAATCAATTCTCTGGTGATCACAGCTTGCCGAGTACGATTGAATGTGAGAGTGAGTTTGTCGATCATTTCACCGGCGTTCTTGCTGGCATTGTCCATTGCTGTCATACGGCTGGACTGTTCGCTGCAAGCACCTTCCTTCATTGAGTAAAATAACAATGAGGCAAGCGAAAATTCCAAGTAACTCTGTATCACCTCCTCGTCCAACGAGTCATATACCGACAGTTTTGGCGCAGTGACCACTGCGTTTTTATCGAATAACGGCAGATCGTCAACCGCGTATGACACTACGGACTTAAATTTGTTGTAAACTATACGTCCAGAGCCGAAGGAATAACTGTAAAAAAATAATGCAATCATAATGTATACTGTATCTTTCAAAAACATGAATATGTATATGTACATGTATGTCTTATATAAAATTGTAGATATTTATATTTCTAAAAAACTTAAAAAAAAAAAGAAAAAAGAAGAATCTAAAACAGAAAAATTCAAGTTATCAAAACGTAAAGTTTAAAAAAACTCATAATTGCAACTGGTATTAAAAATTAATTATTCAAATAATCAACTCAATAGTTATTTATATCATACAATGTGTTTCGAATTATATTTCTAGATAGTCAATATCAATCACATATATATCAAGCAAAACATACCCGCTGTTCATGACTTGTATGGCTACTTTAGCTGCATCGTTGAATGTCGGTGGTTTACGACCGACTTCGGATGCAACAAAGAGTATGTTGTTCGCAAACAGTCGCTGGAGAATTGCTCGGGACTTCTCACCAATGCATATAATCTTTGTGTTCTCACGTTCTTTGGAATCAGCCAGCAATCGGTCGCGAATATTACGGGACACACCGGTATGCACAGCACCACATAGGCCACGATCGCTGGTCACAGCGATGACAAGCTTCTTTGGCTCCTCAGATGGTGCTTGGATATCAGCCTGCTCATAAAATATCTTTGTACCAACACCAAGAGGACGAGCTTGTTTCAAGTCACGCTCCGCACGATTATACTTGGCTGCTGACACCATCTTCATGGATTGTGTAATCTTTTGAATATTCTTGACGGATTTCAAACGTATAGAGATAGCCTTGAGAGTGGCCATGCCTCTCTGCTGCTGCCATTGCTGCTCCTGTGCGGCCAACCGCAAGATTGTTGACATGCGGTTGCTGAACATCGTTGTTGAATGTCAAATTCCTATAACAATTATTTAATTTCAATTAGATAAATATAGTTATCATAATTCTGTGCATTTAAATATAAAATACTGTATAATTTATGTCAAATATTAAAATATTTTACATTTAACTTTTAAAAATGCAAAAAATTTTATGATAAAAATACATAAACTACTACTACTTTCAGCATTATTTTTGCAAATAATTGAAACCTATTCATCTTTTACATTTTTTATAGAATTATATAAATGAGAAGTATGTTCAAATATATATAGACTATTGACACAAGTGATAATATTTCAGGCAATTTTGTGACAACAGTTCATGCAAATCATAGTGTTAATAACAATAATAAATATAATACAGAAATAAAAATGCTATTATAATGTTTTAGCATTTTATATATGTGACCAATCTTTCTTCCAATAAGTTTTTTCCCTCACAATTCCTTATTCCTAAAGTAAATCATAAAATACATGATGCAGAATTCAATGTAATCAATTTAAACTTAGGATCTCAGCCAAGTGTTAAGTCCGACGATTTGATAGAATCTTGACAATTTTAAACGCGGCACAATATCACTCCATTTACATAATCACAGAAAGGGTCGGTCCCGGGGACATACACAGATAAAACCTCAGCTCATGGTCACACTAGTCAGATCGAATACAAGAGAAATAGCGCACACATTCGGGACGATGAAGTAAATCGACTTACCAGCCAATTCTGAAAATAAATTCCACAAAATTCCGTCAACTCTGTTCACCGAATAGCCTAAACGGCCTCCGCACCACTCCGCATACAGAAACCTGCGAAGAAGGTCCCCGCACACGTAATACAACCACAAGGCGGGTTTACATTTATCAAAAATGATCAGCGAGACATCTGTGCATACCGAGTGGCACTATTGATAGAAATTAAACTTTCTTTTTAGCCAAGACTCAAACCATTTTCAGCCAAGACTCAAATCATTTTTAGCCAATACGGCCCCAAGACTCAATAGTCAAATAAACTTATGCAACTAGTTTTCTGTAGACGATGAAATATTTACCATTTATTTAGGTAATCATCTTACAGAGTATTTAATATATTTATACATAAACTATATATTTCAAAGAAGAGCTATGATTTAATATACATCCAGTGGTGGAGCCTTAGCATATTCTTTCTTTTCACCACTCTCAAGCTGACGATCACGCTCTGCCATCATCGTCATGACACGTTGTGCTCTCTTGAATTTTACACCGCATTCGTACATATCACTCAGTATTAGTCTACACTTTTCCTTGCCCTTGTGATAACCATAAGCTTCCATGCAGTCGATTAACTGCAGCTCGTAATGTGCACATTCCTTAAGACACTGCAGATTGCGTACATGAAAGAATACATCAGTAATAGGTGTCTTAAACAAAGGTGCGGTCCATTTTACTAAAGTAACCTCATCATAATTTAGCATGATGTACCTGAAAAAGCAATGACAAAAAGTCTTATATATATAACTCTTGTTAGTTCTCTTAAAAGATTGTAAATATTTTCTCAAGAAAATCAAGGAACTCGAAAAATATATATTCAAGAAAAGTTTCAATTTCAATCCAGCATTCTTTCTGGGCACTAAAATGTAAAGTTTTAATAACACTTGTTTATGATGTGTGAAGGGAAATAACGCCCGTAGCATTTATCTTTTATTATATAATATTATGCAATGATTAAAAGAAAATAATCGTAATAAAACTAAAAAAAAGTAGAACATATTTATATTGCAAAAATATATGTACAATCAAAAGAATATATTTTTATGTTAAAATATATAATCTTATAATGTATAGAAATTTATATATAGATATCTACAATAACAATTATTTTTACCGTATTAAAACAAAGACAATTATACATACCGATGACGTGCAACACCTCAGTTTCTTATTTGTTTTTAATCACTCCGAATTTTTGGTGATTAGGTTCCAAGATCCTGTGTTTTTACGTAATCAATGATAGAGGTTATACTGTTCTTATGGCGCTATCAGCGAGAAAATGAAAATTGTCGTTACATGCGCGTATGCACCTAATCTTCGACGGAAGTGAAAATATGGAAGTAAGTAAATATCCTTACGTTTTATGTCACTTCTTTTTCATTTATATCTAAATTGCTTTGTACATTCTTATCATTGAGATTGAATAATCTGTTGAATTAATATTATATATATAAATTAATTAATATAATGAAAGTAATTATTTTATTATCGATTATATTCTTTAGACATTTCGAGGAATTTTTTATTTGCTTTTAGGCACTGTATAATATTTAGTATTTAAGATTGAAGATTGGACACACATTGCTACAGGCGGATGTCTAGAAACATTGTCTGTTGCTCCTCGCTTCTGGCATCATTGCTTGCATTAGTGGGAGCAGCCTGCCAGTCGGAGCAGCCGCACTGCAATCATCGTCGTGTATCGGATTGTTTGTCAATAATCCACCTCATCGTCTGTTCGAGTACGCCTCTTGTCGCAGTAGATCGTCGGCGATCACGACGATATGACGCCTGATAGCAATAACAACGTTAGGAACAGCGGCACAGCGTCATACGCCATACAGGAGTTCTAAAATAAGTTTCGCGAGTCTTCATCGTCGACACGTCGCTGATCGACACGCTGGAATGCGTGAACGCACGACGAAGCCTAGTGAACAAACTGGTGCGCGCGTGTGACATTCACCGAAGTTACAGACACACATATACACGCACGGTGCGACGATGTGTCCGTCGATCAACTCCATCTGTTCCGTCGTGCGGAGGAGTCGCGTCGTTCCATGACCGGCGTACACCAGGACTGAAAGCCTGAAAATACCCCAGGAATGCTCGTAACGAGAAACGAGTGTTTTTGTCACGCCGAGAAAGTATATTGTTTCGAGGAGAGTGCATCGGATTGCACCAGAGGAAGCTGCCAAAAGCAGACAATTATTGTCGGACTTCCGTCATAGCGGACACACTCTGTTTCGGTGTTAAGCGAGCACGATGCGATTTTTAGTTGTTATTTAATTATTAATGCTCCGAATTATAGAAAGTTACTGGTACAATATCAGTATTCGACTCAGAGCCAGTCAGGACGACGCAGTCTGAGTTTTGATTAATCAAATAATATATGAGCGATATAAAAGTTCTATAATAGCAGAGCGACGTGTTAATCGAGTACAACGATTTTGCTGCACCGGAGACGAGGGGCAATAACGTTGGAAAAGTTGTGTGGTGCCGAATTCGTCATCGGTGAACAGCGAGTGTAAGTAATGCAAGTATCGTACTGGATAGATGAGATTGTTTCTGATGTGTTGATAAATAAGGTGTGCATTATTTAATGAAGTCAAAAGTCTTGGAGAAGTCAATGAATGTTGTTTATGTGGCGAGCACGAGGATTTTCAAGAACTTGTTAATTGGAATTAGAAATTTATTCGTATTTTAAGTTTATTCATATGCTGAATGGGAGAACTCATTATTTTTCTAAGATATTTATTAATTTTGTTTCTTCAAGATACCTTGATTTCACTGGACAATTAGTAAACATGTAGCATGACATGTTAGTTAAAAACATATATATAGTTACATAAACAACAATCTTTGCCACTTCTAAATGCAATCTAAGATTGCTTTTTTCTGTGCCTTACACATTGTATTTTACACACACGCGCGCATACCACACACATACGCGCACACACAATACTTTTCAAAATATTTACAAGTTATTTTTTTCATTTCAGATTTACTAGAAAAAAATGTATAATGTCAGAGTAATACAATATAGAGACATAGGTGGCAAATACGGGGCAATCGAATATAATAGACTGCTGTGTATCTCGCTTAGTTGATGTACGGAACATCGTTGTAGATACTCGTCTAGCGCTTTTACTGCATATCCTTAGTCTCGCTTTGTCGGAAAACATCCAGTGTTCATAAAATCGCAAAATTTTCATGAGGCCGAAGGTGCCTCAAAAGAGGGGAAACTTTCTTTTGAGAAGGTACAGCGTTCTACAATTGACTTTAACGAACAATGAACCATTCGGGAAGCGGAAAACGCCAGGCGAAGGTTTTGGAAGAAAATTATTGGGACTGCAGTGTCTGCACTTATAGAAATACAGCAGAAGCATTTAAGTGCCTCATGTGTGACGTCCGCAAGGGAACCTCTACGCGGAAACCCCGCATAAACCCCCAATTGGTAGCTCAACAGGTTAGTTCAAGTGTTCTATAATATTAATTTACCGCAATTTAGAATAAGTATATTTTTATCTCAATCCAGCTATTTGCTTCAATTTTTTCACGCTTATTTCGAAATTGTTAAAGTTTAATACATCGTCAATATCGTATTCACCATTCAGGTTGCGCAGCAACAATATGTGCCACTGTTGAAACCAGGCAAGAAGGAAGGAAGTGCTGGCAGCACAACTAGCGGCGTCAAGGAAAAGGATCGCAAACTGGACAAACCGAGGCGTAGGAACAGGCATCCGCCTCGTCTGAAAAACATCGATCGCAGCACTGCGCAGACGAACGAGGTGACAGTTAATAATGTTACTGTTACTATTACCGAATACAAGCCCAAAGTGAAGAAGGGCTCGGACCAGTCGAGCAATGCTAGCTCCGAGGGCGGCAGCCAACATGATTCCAGTCAAGATTCAAGAAGCCTTGACGTAGGGACCGACGTCTAGCTTAATGCTAGTGTTACATATGTGTACGAATCGTTCTAATTAATATATTGTACGACGTATGTGTATGTTATTAACTTTTATGGTCATCATTGTACATCCTCTAGATAGCAATGACCATTGTCGACTGTAATTCTTCGCTAATTTGTCATTGCATTGCAGATCGGTGAGATGAGACATTTTAATGAGTCATGCCGTCAATGAGGATATTGACTGTACGTGATTCGTATATCATGATTTAACGAAAGAATAAATGCATACATTGTATATCATCGTTTCACTTGTTGCGCGAGGTGTTGACAATTCGCGTTGGCTTTCCACGCGAGAGAAACTGTACTTAAAAACGCTTATTTTACGAAACGTCGGCTCTTTTAATCTACAACATTTATCAAGAGAAAAGTTTTTAATGAATTTATTTAAAGTGTCTATATGTGACATACTCTGCGCTAGATTTAAATAAAAGGGAAAAAGTTGTAAATATTTACGGAATATTGTCTGTCAGGTGACAATTTTATGAGCCATTGTTGACATCCTCAACTTTTATTGAATTTACGAGACCACTGCCAGAAAGCGTGTCGTAAGACTGTTACTCTTTAGACTTTGTTGACAGGGCAACGAGATACGATGTATGGATTTCGTTTTTGATTTTGCTTTCTTATATAATAATTACCAGCGTGACTGGCACTGGTACACATGTACTTTTTTTTGTTCTATTTCAATTTGTCATTTGAGACGCATGTCCTTCGAACATTAAATGGTTAAATAATGTTGCATTGGTCTCTTGAACAATCTACTTCGGTTTTTTCCATATGATTAAACTGGATTATATTCAAAATCATGTTTAATCACGATTACACATACACGTTTCCGAAAGTTGTACAGATTGAATATCAATTTTCAGATAATATATATATGTATATATATATATATATATATATATATATATATACATACATATATATATATATACATACATACATATATATATATATATTATATATATGTATATGTAATATATATACTCGTACTAAATATCTATACGTTTTTTTTTCTGAAAAGAAAAAATAAACTATAAAATTTTCTTTCCAGTGAAGTAAAACTGTAGAATATAAAAATGTATTACATTTTGTTTGGAAATGTGGATGTATATATACACATCAAAGACTTCAAACATTATTATTACAATATTTGTAACTGCCCAAAAGAGATTGCTTATAATAGCGAGCTCTTGTTACATTTATTATCATCAAATTGAATCGCAGTTGCAAGGACCATAAAAAATGTTATAATCCATTAAATCAAATAAATAGAAAAGAAAGAATTGTACGAACTTGTTAATATTATATTCGATAATTATATACTCATCGAGATCATTGTAATACAATTCATTAAGAGGTGAAAGTAAATGTAGGACTGTCAGATTATTTAATCGAGAATAGTGTACTCGAGAAACAAATAATATCACCAAAATAATGCATTGTAAAAAGAATTCTCACGACTGCCCCTGAACTTACTTTCAGTACCTTGTGATTGATACCCTGAATTAATTATCCTAATTAAAGAAGTCGTGTTGCATAAAAATTTGTAGCTTTTACAAATGGATTTCTAATCAATAGATAACCAGTTAACACTTACAGAAAAAGAGAAAAAGTGAATCACAAGCAGATGATATTTTTACAATTTTGTGAAATTGTATGCTATCCTTTTTGTCTTACATGTGTAACCAGCTTGTCTTTACATGATGCAAATCTATCTGTATCTTAATGGAACATGAGAATTCAAAGTGGACAGCGTATTTTCGATTTTGTACTAAATTTAGAAATTCTTTTAAATTAATCTTTTTAAATACATTTTATATAGTCTCTTGTTTGTTCAAGAGATTAAGTGAATGTAAATCAGGGGCCCATTTTCATTAAAGAAAATAGTTCTTTGTGAAACAGGCTTCAGAACATTATATAGCCTGTATCCTATTAACAATATGGCATGATTCGACCAATGATTGAATAAAATTGAACTGTACGTTATTTTCAACAAAGGTATTATCGCTGTACAATGTCTAAAATTCTCAAGAAATAATCATGGGATTAATATTATATTGCTAACTGGGAAACAATAAATCATGTTTCGAAAAACAAACACTGACGTGTTTTATTAATCAACTTACCTGATGGATCGTTTCTTTATATTAATGTAGTTATTTATTTTATGAAAAAGAAATGTAAAAAGATCATTTATTTACATTTCAAAAACACTTCATTTTAATGTAACGTACTTTTACTATACATTTCAAATGTCCTTTTTCTTCTTGGTTTACACGCTTGACGATTCCAGATTTTCAATTTCCGTATTAAGTCTTCAGTATACGTCTTCAGTAAAATCCATCGTTTCTTCTTGTTTGAATTTCATTACAAAATTACTCGATGCGCTTGCATTCGCAAATCTCTCTTTCACTGTTAATGAAAATGAAATATAAAGTTAAAGAATGACGATTAAGTTTTATGAAAAATATTTATGCATACCGGCAGGTATATCCATAAGATTCAGCACTTTGAAATTATGCGCTTTGTTATCTCCGCCAACGGCAAACACAAATCCATTATTTGGATTCGCCGCGAGGCATTGTATAGCGCCTAAATTATTCTCCTTTTCCGATAAAAGAGTAGGGGATTGTTGATTAAGATCCCATATTTTTATTACACTGTCGTTCGAACAGGAAACTAACAGGCCTCGACACGATGTGCTGAGGGAAAGACCTGAAGAAAATATTAGAGAAGGGTTTTATAAAACTCATGTAAAGTCAATTTTTTTAAAAATAAGAATATATTTACCTGTTACTTCTTTTTCATGAGCCTTTATTTCCCATAAAGACTTGTCACTTCTTATATCAAAATATTGTATATAACCATTATCTGTACTGGCCTGTAAAGAAATACAAATGTTACAGATATAACAAAAATTAATATTACATGCGTGTGAGACGTACAATATAATAATTTGGATCGTAATGATTCCATATCACTCTCTCCACTTCCCCTTGCATCTCCCAGCTTCGTGTAAGTGGCGTTCTTTCTTTGCAGTCAAATAATCTTACTAATCTGAAAGAATATTACATAGATATCTATGCAATATAAATGCCATACATAACAATTAAGCGTACTTGTCTGCACATCCTGTCAATAGATGGTGCGTTTCCTGTGGATGCCATTTTAGCGCTTGCACTTTTTCATTAAATGATTTTAGTGTGGTCGCAGGTGCACAATTTTCTAAGTCCCATAATAAAACTGTTTCATCTACTGAGCCACTGGCAAGAATATGTCTACAACAAGATGGTTTTCCTAATTAGTTTCTCATAAAATAAGATATCAATTAAATTATTAAATATTGCAATTTTTTAATGTAATATATAAACTAACGTGAAATTCTGATTCCATGCCAAGTCCAAAACTGCATCTGTATGGCCAATACGTTGCCGGAACTTCTTTTTATTTGGCTTACAGCCTAGTTTATAGGCTGGTTCTAAACAATCAATTAAATCCAAATCCCATACTTCAATTATGGGAGTCATGTTACCAATTGCACATAAATTACCTAAAAGATAAATATATTTTTTAGTAGTAATTATGGATATTTCTTATCAAAAAGGCTTTTACACGTAACTAGAATATTTTATTCCTATAAAATTGCCATTTCTTACCTGGTTTTATATCTGCAACATCATAATTGAGCCATTCGATACATAATGGAAATGAAGGTAAAAGTATATCATGATGGCAGTAAAAAGATCCTTCCTTCTCATTGTATACTATAATTATAAATTGGTAAATTGTTAAATCTATTATGTAAAATTGTGTATCTATTTCTAAATATTTTGTACGAACCAAATACTTCTAATATGCTAGCATCTCCCTCAACATGCCCAATCAATATCAGATTGTCATCATTCTTGATAATGTCATCTTCTTTTTCTGAATCATCATCATCATTTGTTATAAGAGGATCTTTACCATCTGTACCAAAGCTAGCTATGTTAGCAACGTGAAAATGCATATCGTCAGCTGTAAAATAGAAACAATTTATTAAATAAGCAAAAATGTTTCTTATGCATGCATTATTTCTAATTTTTCTTTTACCCTCATTATCATAGGCTTCAAAGTTATATTCATCAGTACTATCAGTTGCAGAAGGTTCTTGTTTAATTTTAGATTGCGAGGTAGTCGCCTCTTCATCAGATTCTTCATCTCCACTTCTGTAAAAACATTATTATAAACAATCTGCTTGATTAAATATATGTAAAATATTGAATTATTTTCCTACATACTTTAAAGCGGATTTCGTTTTCCTTATAATTTTTTCGAGCTCGTCAACCCTTAATTCAACCTAAAAAATAGCCCAAAATATTTATTTATTTATTTCAAAGTGGTACATCGAGTTAATGTGATATAACCTAGAAATTGGAATACTAACTTTTTCAGGAACAGCTGCAGCAACACCTTTTTTCACCCACGCAGTGCAAGGTACGACATTTGCTTCCATTTTAATTCTATTTGTAAATTTGTTAAATTTAACTATATAAAATTAAAACAAAACTTTTATCGAATTATCACGCGGTATTAAAATCAGATTATGTTGCTGGCACATTGCTAGTCATTGATTGTGGCGTCTCGTAACAGAATTTGTTAGAACTAAAAAAATATGCTGGTTCGAAGTTGTGTTACGCTATGTATTGCGAAAAATTTTATAATAAATATTTATTATATTTATACATGTGTACTATATAAGATAGAAATAATTCATATTTATAAATGTATTTTCTAGATTTCAATAATAGTCTTTAATAATCTAGATTTTTGCAAACAATTTTAATAAAATATAATCATAAAAAGTAGAGTATATAAATACAAAAGTCATTTATAACTAAATTTTAAGTGTTTAATTTTTATTGCAATAAAGTTTTACTTTATTTCTATAAAGCATTATGTTATATGCAAGTTTATTGAGCAGTATATATCATAATTCTGTACAAATATATACTTATATAAGTAAAATATACTTTATAAGGAATATAACATATAATTAGTATAAATCTTAAATCATTTTATTCGTAAAATATAAAAAATTATACATATATATATATATTAAAATATATACATATATATATTATATACATAAATTTAACAATTATTATATGGAATGTAAAAAATATTTTGGTTGTATACCTTCAACTTGAATGAGATCTAAATATTATATAACTAGCACTTTTCGCGACTCTTTTTGGCAAGTACAGCCAGTCCAGTCTTTGATTGATTTGCTCTGTCTAATTGTTTACTAATGTAATCTCCAATTTCCACAATTTTATCAAAGTTTATACCAGTTTCCATTCCTTGTCCTCTTAAAAAGTATAACAGATCCTCAGTGGCAACATTTCCTGAAGCACCAGCAGCATAAGGACATCCACCAAGTCCAGCAACTGAAGAATCCAAGACTCTTATACCTTCTTCAAGACCTGCATATATATTTGCCAAAGCCTGTCCATATGTGTCATGACAATGTAGAGCATAATAATTCATATCATTAGAAGAAACATAGCGTAACTCATCTAAAACACGTTTAATTTTATTCGGCGACCCTACGCCTATAGTGTCGCCCAAGGAAATTTCATAACATCCATGCTCTAACAATGTTGAAGCCACATGTGCTGTGGCGGCTGGTTTGATTTCACCTTCGTAAGGACAGCCAACAACACAAGATACATAACCCCTGACCTTAATATTGTGCTTTTTTGCCTCTTCTATGACGCGCTTAGAATTCTTTGCAGTCTCCTCGATGGAACAGTTTACGTTTGCTTTGGAAAAGGCCTCTGATGCTGTAATGAATACAGCAACTTCTTTTACACCTACTGCAACAGCATTTTCTAAACCTTTCAGATTTGGTATAAGTACTGGGTAAGATATGTCGTTTCTCTTCTCAATTTGCTGAAAAACTTGTGCGTTATCTGCCATCTGAGGAACCCATTTTGGAGATACAAAACTAGTAACCTCAATACTCTTCAATCCGGTTGCTGACAGTTTATTGATGAAGTCGACCTTCACTTCAGCAGGTACTATCTTCTTCTCGTTCTGCAACCCATCTCGAGGTCCAACTTCAACTATTCTTACGAAATCGCTATATTGTCTCGATGCATACCTTTTAACACAGTTGCTAATTTTTGATGACAATTGCAATGTTGACCGCTTTGTAAATAATTCCATCGTTATATGTAAAATTTCAAAAACTGTAATAAAACTGTGCCCTATTTAAAAATTATATTGTGCTGTTTACAAGTTATCAGCTCTTACGTATCGTTAAAGATAAACCATGATTTGTTTATAAAATTTTATTTGAGTGACATCGAGTTTCAAAATCCTAGTCTTATGCCCTTTTTTCAATCGGGAATGCGATTGGATGCAATTCAATGCAACATTACAAATTGTGCTTAATGTCGATATATCGATATATTGAAAGTAAGCAATAATGTATCGCAAGCGTTCGAGTTGGCGGTAATGTCTAAATGAAATGTTGAGGTTATGTTATGTTATAGGTTAACTTGTTTTGATTGAGCTATCACGCGAGTGTAAAACCGTAAAAATGGATGAAGATACGATAAGTAACGGTGATCAAGAGGAGCAGAAGAATTCGTATAAAGAAATAATTAATGATATTACGTGCAAAGAAGATTTAACTTCATTTTTCAAAGAAAGCGATCACAGTGTCAATAAGGTCTACTTCTCGAAGGTAAACAAATACTTTTGTGATGAAATACTTTTCGATGAAAAAAAATAATAAGAGAATATTTATTTTAAATATAAAAACAAACAATTTTGCACATGTGTGACAGTTTCATGAATGTTGAATTAAATAAATATTTAACATATTTTTATTATAGTTGTAATATAATTATTGCGTTCATCATTTTTAATAATTTAAGTCTTTTTTTATTGACGGACAGTCTCATATATTTTTATGTATGAAATATTGCTTTTATATTTTATATTGAGTATTGTTTTATATATTGGAATACAGATATTGTTATATAAAGATTCTTTCTGAGATATTCTTAATTTTTAACAAATGTAATATATTGCAAAGAATATTGGAGAAGGAATAAATGGAATTAGAAGGATAGAAAAAGATCAAGGAAATAGGTGCACCTAGGTTTATCAAGATCAATCGCAGGTTCCACAAATCTGTAAGGATGAACCATGTCAGCTCGGTGTGGATGAGGCAGGTCGTGGTCCAGTCTTGGGACCGATGGTTTACGGGATCTCTTACGCTCCATTGTCGCAGAAGCAGCTGCTCGTCGATCTAGGCTGCGCCGATTCCAAGAGTTTGACGGAAAAGAAGCGCGACGAGATATTCGACGATACCTGCAAGCATAAAGACAGCATAGGTTGGGCGATCGAGGCAATATCGCCGAATGTCATCGCCAACAGTATGTATCGCCGCACCAAAATCTCATTGAACGAGACTTCCATGATGTCGGCTATGGACTTGATACAAGGAGCGATCGAGGCTGGCGTAAACGTGGCCGAGATCTACGTGGACACCGTCGGCAAGCCCGAGTCTTACCAGGTGCGATTGAAGGGCGTGTTCCCCGGCATAAAGATAGTCGTGGCGAAGAAAGCCGACGCGACCTATCCAATTGTCAGCGCGGCCAGTATATGCGCGAAAGTGTCGCGTGATCACGCGATACGCGCGTGGCGGTTTCGCGAGGGTGACAATATCGAGACGGAATATGGCAGCGGTTATCCCACCGATCCGGCGACTAAGAAGTGGCTGGCCGCGAACGTGGATCAGGTGTTTGGCTTTCCGCAGCTCGTCCGGTTTAGCTGGTCCACTGCCGAGCAGATACTCGAGTCAAAAGCGCTGACCGTAGAGTGGGAAGAAACAGAGGAGCCGGAGACTCCGAACGAGCAGAAGATTTTGAAGTTCTTCGCCAAATCTCCAGCTAAATCGCTAAATCACACAAAAAAACACCCGTTCTTCACGGAACGTTGTCTGTCTAACGCGACTGTTTTATGATATCCGTTTTCATCCTGATCTTCTCCTGAAAATTTTTAACGAAAAAGTTAATTTACTAGTATTGTTACAATTAATTGGGACATATATGAGACACTCGGATTGAAATGAATCTTTTATTCCGAGCATCTCATATAGAAAATATTTAATAAATATACAGTGCTACTTACGTTGTCTTTCATTATAGTTTTATTAGATCGATGTACAACACATTTCGAGAGAGATTCACGCGATACGCTAAAGAAAATACTTCCGCAGATTAGAATTCAACGATATTATTTTTTTTCCGTAAGTTGATATTACAGTGTTTTATTTCGGAATCATTAAATTAAAGAAAAGTATACCTTCTGGCAATTTTATATATATATCATATATACATATGTACAGAGTATGCCCTTAAAAGCTACCATAGATAAAGAGTGGGGCAGTTTTACTTACGAAAAATTCCTCTACACACCGTGCCACCGTGATTAATTAACAATTAGGAATGCTTAGCGTGAAAAGTTCAAAAATCTTTGGTAAACGCACGCCTACAGTCACACACGTCGTACAATTATTCCTAGGACATTATCTTGTTAACGCACGATTAATAGCGACTAGATCATTAAGGGCTACGGATGACGGCGAACAGAAACGACGATTTGTTTTGTTGCATGCTGCTGCATCGCTGCCGCTTCTTGGTTGTATGCACTAGATTCTCGATTCGTGTTTATTTTATTGATTTACGGCCACACGCGGCGTGTAAGTACGGCGTCGTGCGCGTCGCCCTCGTTTTCTTAACTAAATATCTGCCATTCGCAACGTCGAGCGCAGCATAACCGATAATTAATCTTATTGATTAATACACAACGCGTTTTAGATATTTTTTTCGATATTTTAAAATCTCTTTAATAAATATTCAATCGCAAATATCAACTTTCAACTCGAAAATAACGATGGAAATATTTTTACATCATATATTGCGTATCGAGTTCGGAAATCTGCAGGGAATTTTCTATATTTAAAATGTTAATTATATTGCTTTACAGTCGAATAAAGTTTCTACTCTATCATTACTATCGCAAATCAGGCATAGAGCGGCTAATGAAAATTCGATAAAATGCGGGATTCGCCACGTTCTCGGTTTGCCCGGCAGATATTGCGCTAGCCACACAACGGATATGCAGATGAAGTGATGCGCGCACGCGTATGTGTGTGTGTGTGTGTGTGTGCACGTATCCGAAGAAATCGATTTATACACTTTACGCATGAGTCGCCGCAAGCGATGTAAAAAGTCGCGACACCGAATTTTCACGATAAACGACACAGGTTGTCGCTCGTACACATTCTTCCGACGAACATACACGAGAAGATGCGCCGCCGCTCGTCGTACTGTTCTACGCGAAAGATGTAATTTCTTTAGGGCGAAAATAAAACGATCAAATTGCCGCAACTGTCCGATGAAGACTTTTTATCGCCTTGAAAAAAGAAACCCCTTGTTCCTTTACAACGAAATCTCTCCTCACATTCGAGTAATATCTAACGTACCGATAGTGTCTGCCTACGATTACGTGGTTTTCTAATTCCACTAATTGCAATTATAAAAAATATAAACAACACGGGTAATTTATTACGTAATCTTGTCACACGAGGATGGCTTCCACAGGCCTACGGGATGAGCACGAAGGACGAGTGGTGTGCCCGATCCTTACCGCAGCAGTAATCCAATGATCACCAGCACGACGCATGGTCCTAACGTTATACTGCCGCTCGCTGGAAGAAAAAAGAAGAGGAGGAGTGGGGGACACATCGTTTCCTGTAAGAGAGAGAGAGAGAGAGAGACTCTCTCATAAATATTCAAGGAAAAAATTCAAAGTTTGAACTTGACGCGGAAATTGCAGCTTAGTTAAGCGAGTTTGGCTAAAGCGATTTGCGCTTAAGCGCGTTGTAAAAAAATGGCTGAATTAAAAGGGATCGGCGGGGATCTCGTATCCGCGAAATTGGATTCTTAATCTTTCGATCGCTCACGCGTCCGCGATTCTGACAGTTTCGAAATTCCTTCGCGCGTTTCCCCTTAGAACTGTTGTCCCTAAAACACGTTTCGCGCGGAACAAGTTACCTGTTTGCGCTTTGGCTTCGCGCGCGCGGAGCCGGAACAACGTATCGGGGAAAATGACGTTGAGTTGCTAAACTATCCGCACACGTCAGGACGAGCTTCGAGTTGGAGATGTTAACACCAAAAGGGCTGAGATCCATTATTTCAGTCGCTAAGCCCTTCGCACGCGGCCACAAAGCTTATACTTTTTGCGAACTTTTAATCAATATTAACGACGTGAACTGTGAAAAACGTCAATTTTTTTTCACGCTTTGAAAAGCGTTCCTTATCCCCCTTTATACGCGAGGTGGGTAATGGTGGCTTCCAGACAGACCCTCATCTCAATCCATTTCATACTAATGTAAACAAAACGTCAAAGTTAATATTCCGATTATGTTGTTTTAAGAGATTTGAAAAAAGAAACTTAGAATTAAACTCTTGAATAATGCATAGAAAGTAAAATTGGATTTGTGTTATTTGACGTACTAATTTCCTTATCGTAATTTTATCTTTTTATTGCCGTTATTATCCTCAGATGTTGAAAGATGTTTAAAAAAATATTCATCTCCTTTAAAAAAAATAATAAAGATTAATATATTAATATATTCCAATAATTAATTGTGTATATAAGTTTCGAATATTAAGATATTATTTAAAAAGCTGTATCTCTTTTAGTAATGTTATTAATGTTATTAATTTAAGGGACAGTTTTTCTTTTTTGCTTTTTCCAAATTCGTCCATAGGGTTAACAAGGGCAGCCGAATTGAAAGACATAATCAAGAAATCCGTATTTGTGCGGTAGAGAATAGACGTCTCGCTCTGGTTGCTACGTCATCTATCCTCGGCCAACGACCGGTTCTTTTTTTTACCTAGTATATGCTCGGCATGCGTGTGCCCTTGCGCCCTTGTCCCCCTGCTCTCCAATACCGGCATCTTCAGGGGCCCTTGTTTCTCACCCTCTATGCTGAGCTCATTCGATTTCCAATATAAAGTCAGTATCGTCGCCACGCATTTGATCTTCAAGTCTCCCTTCTTGAAGTGCTTCGAACGCAGACGGAACTCCAGACTGAGTGTGGTGGTCTCCAGACCCTCCTGGTCCTTAGTGATGTAGGGCCCCTTCAAGAACTGCGTTTCGACCTAATCGAAGCAAAGAAGGGGACTATATATATTCGCTCTCGACCTGAACGACGACGACGACGACGATGACGACGCGATTGTTCTCTCCGCCGGCAGGGATATTCGCAAGCACGTCATCAACGTTGTTATTTAATCCCTCGCAGTGATATTTTTTCTAAAATTTTTATATGTAATTTTCTGGGAAAATAGAAGCGTCAGAGAGGCCGCTTATCAATTTTAAACGCACGTTGCAGGATGCTCTATCCGAAGGGACTAAGAAGTAGATAAATGGAGAAACTGGTGACAGACCAGCTGGAATATTGAAGTGGAACAAGAAAAAGATAATGCTTCGTTCAATAAACTCGATCACAAAGGAATAAACGACAGACAAGCGGCGCTGTCTCTTCGGATGCGCGAAGCTATAATTGAACAGGGATTATTTTAGTGTCCTTAAAATTTATTTTTCTCCTCTTCTCTAATAAAATGTAATTATGTCGTCGGTGCTTATCATCGCAAATTAAATACCACGTTATCTGTCTAATCTGCTTCCTGCAAAATTGACTCTTGACCCGCGAGCTCTCTGAGAGCACTATATAAACTTTTAATAGCGCTCAACGGAAGATTGCTATCTGTCTCATTATATTTTGCTATAAGATCTGCAATAAAAATTAAGAGGCAGTCCAGCGTGTAGCGTGTTCCAATCATAATAATGAAATTATTCAATATCTCATTACTTTTAATTATACTTTTTATGTTAAAAGCAAATTTTATGTTTTTTTCTGACGGCGAATTGACGGAGAATTTTGACGCATTAAGGAGTATGCATTCGCTCTGAATATTGCAAGGGGAGATTATCCTTTAATCATAAGGTTATTGATTCGAATATTGATTAAGCGCAATTCAATTTTAATAAGCCGCGAAACTAATGCGGACGTTAAAACAGTAATGAGGCAATTTTGCGCGAGCTCGCGCGCTCGCGCCCGCTCGCGACACTCGAAGATTAATTACCCAAGAGCCAATTATTTGTTTGCGTATGAAAAATGAAAAAGCTCCGAGCGTCAGAGAATACACTTTGCAAAATTAATCCTCGAGCTTTGTTAGCGCGTAATCGCGGGTCAACGACACATTAACAGTCACGTTCGCGGTCGTCGCAAACGCGCGTTATTTTTACAGAGAAAAAAAATTCGCCGTGGCTTATTGTCGTGATGGAAAACTTTTGACAGAGTGTTCGAGAGAGAGAGAAAGAGAGAATGGGTTACGACTTTCCCTCGTCACACAGTGATATCAAAGTGCGCTTTTACGGGCGTAACCTCGTAAGTTGTGTGTCACGATGGCGGTAAAACGTGATGTATTACGAGAAAGAAGTCCTTACTGAGATAAACGTCAACTTCATCACTCGTCCAACCATCTAACGACAGTGTTAGATTCGTTCATAAATTAAGAGTGAAGAATCAATCTCGATTATGTTTCGACAGATTATTAATTTAAAGCACAATTGATAACATGTTTTGGAGATAAAAAATTGAATTTTTGATCCACGGAAATTGAGATAAAAATTAAAACGTTCTTTTTCGGAATTTCTAATAAAAAAAAATATTTTAAAAAATTAAGAATCGGAATAATGCGGTATGTTAAATGATATTTCTCTAGTTATTGACAGATAAGTCTTCTTCCCGTTACACAACCGCATCCGTGCATTAGCGAACGCGAGTGCTTCGACTTTAGACGGATTTTTCGAAAATGGGTGGCTTATCTCGGACGTCGGTGACGCACGTCGCCGCGAAATTTTACACTTCTTAGCGCGAGAAAATGTTTACGATTTCATGAAAGCTAGTCGGAGAGACGCAATGCGTCTGAAGTGCTACTCACGCGTTCACTGTTGATGTACCAGCTGAGTGAGGCATGTGGCTTTGAGTTCAACGAGGTGCAATTGAATCGCAAGACATCGCCGAGCTGATAGCGACGTTTCTTCGGCAAAAACGGCGTGATGTTGGGTCCTTTATCCGGCAGAGCTGGAGATATCGAAAACGCTCGTTAATATCCATCACGAGGCAAAGACGCGTCCTTCGATTAATTCGACGAGCGACGGGGCTTTTAACTTGCGCGCCCGCTCGAATATTTTAACGCAATACCGCTTGACCGTAATTTTGTTGCGGCGGGCTTAACTTGTTTACCGGCGTGGAAATTTTAATGGAGTAACACTTCGCTATAATCATCGCACGCGATATAACGCACACATTTAACTATGTAAACTGTATAGATATATAAATATCGCGCGGTGACTCGCTGGCTTGACGCAAAAGCCGACCGATCGAGATTATGTGCCCGTCGGCAAAGAGAATAAGTAATCGAATCCGTCCTGGATTAAAAAGATTGGATGGAAAAACCAACGGCGGTCTCTTATTTAAACTCGAAAGAACTCGGCACACTGAAAATCCTCTCGACCGATATATCCTGTGATATATGATATTATCAATCAAGAGTTTGTGAAGAGTGGCAGTTGTTACGACATGTTGACATCTTTATATTAAAAACAATTGAAATTGAGAGAAGTTTGACGAATGTAATTGGAAGTTTCCTTATTTAGACTCGGAGAATCCTGATAAATAATATTACTTAGGAGAATATCGGTTTCAAGTTTGTCAACCGATTGAAAGAAAAACGCGATATTTCTCGGAGTGCAGCGTACGTGATGATAATAACATAGGATTAACGGAAAACGTTTAAATCGTTCAAGTCGAGGAGTTATAGATGTGATATTACCGTCACAGGAATGGATTGTCAGTGATTCGTCACCGGCGGTAGGTCGATATTTGAGGAGCAGATAATGTCCTCTCGCGGAACGGATTAAAAACCGACGCGACGTAATTAACTCTTTCGGACGTATTGGAACTGCGATTCGTTTTAATTCCCGCGTTAAGTGGCTTATAAAATCCTCAAAGTCGTTAAAATTCCTAATCCGCCGGTGGAAAATCTATCTTCTTCTTGAGCACGAAACCGAAATCCTTCCGTTAAACGGCACGTTATAAATCTTTGTCTCAGAATTAAACCGTCCCCGAGTTCCGGCGTTTCACCGGGACTACACAGATAAATCTTTTTATGGCTTGAAATTCGGACATGAATAAAATTACGATTAGCCGAGCGCAGTTTTTTCTCCCCCGGTCGATCACGATAACAACAACATTTGCTCGGATAATGAGAATCGGTGGGAAAGAATAGCCGCGCGGGAATAAATCAACGGCGCAACAATATCCCCCCCTCCCCCAAGTTCGCGGCGGCTGGATATCGCCGTTATTGCACAATTCTTTCAAAATACAGACCCTCTTAATTAATATAAATTTGCTGTATGTGCTACTCACCGACTACCATCATATCCGAGTGGTCGGAAACAGTTTGAAAAGACGGCGCCTCTGCCGAAACCTCGCATCTGTAGCGTCCCGAGCTCATGAGGTTCACGGAATGAAGAACGACCAGTCGTTCGGTAGAATTGTGAACCTGAAATAGAAAATCTTGCATGAAAACGTTGCCATTCAGCTCGTTGTAATAATTAATGTGAACAACTGCCGAACTTGTTTTACGAAATATTCACTTTCCAAGTAAATTAACGGAGTTAAATTTTAATATAAATAATTATTTTAATTGAAAAATTATGCGCAGAGTTTATCATCTTAATACTATCTCTTAATGTTATATTGCAACTTTTACAATATTTTCCCATTAATATACGATGTATAATAAATTTCACGTTTGTACAACATTATTTCCGAGAATTGATCGGACAAGAGTTCAGGATTTCACCTCGCCTCTCTCGAAATTTCGACGGATGAGCGAATAAAATCGAGGATATATTCGTATATTCGTCTTTCGGGTAAAATGAACTTCCCACCGACAACTTCCGTCAAAAATTTCCCCGCCGCGGTCCAGTGAATCACCATCAGCCCTCTCCTCTTTGTACAGACTTCCGAAAAGCTCGCCGCGGAGTTTTCACGTCGCGAGCGGCGAAAACCGGAGTTTTTTTTCCGTATCACTCAATGGCGCGGAAAACCCAGCGAGTGATATACTCGGCGAGGAATTGAAATTATTGGAAATATCATTAACCCAGAAGAACGCTCGGAGGAGGAGGCGACTCCCTCTCAGGATCAATTTGTAATGCGTTATCTTTTGCGGCGGCGACGACGACGGCGATGACGACGAAAGGCAATTTCAGACGTGCTCCCGACGATGACGTGCTTAACGAACAACGGCCCGGCATTAAATTAGTTTCGCGAAGAACGCGGAGGACAAACCCCGGGTCATCGTTGTCGGCATCCTCGCAATTTTCATCTTCGCGCGCGCGCGCGCGCGGGAGTGGCGCATTTCGCGATTCATTATACTAATCGATGTAATTATAAACAACGGATATAACGACCGCCGGGTAGACAGGGATAATTTCCGAGGGCGTCAATCTCTCGGCGCTCGGTGATTAATGTTAATATCAAGGCACATTATGACGAAGATCGCGTTGGCCGCGGTCGCCGTCGCCTTTGTTGCATCCACCGCTTGCACGTGTAATGCAACGTTAATCCAAGATCTTGACGTGAATGGAAAGCCATTTTGGCCGCGAGTGCCCAAAATGGAAATCCCACAGGGAAAAGCCCCGCTCTCGCTTCCGCTATATACGGCGCCGCCTATTTACTCAGATAGCGAAAGAGAGTTTATTTTCGCAAGCGAGCGCTTACGATCCCGTCGCATGAATATTTTTTCGCTCAGAAACGTCGAAGCGGAATTTTCAAAATGCACCACTTACGATCTTTATTACCGCCGGGCTCGCGTCGTCCACTGTTTTTATTACCGTCTCCATCGCGACTGGAATACGTGCGACGAGCGAATTTCGGTTACCGACGATAGCTCGGCTCGGCATGTATTCCTGAGCTAGTTTACATTTCGCCTTCATATTTGTTTTCCAATTGGAAAAATACCCGAGCGAGCACAACGTGCGCGATTTATTTTTAAACGATACAAATATGGAAACGCGGAGTTTCCACGGGCTAGTCTCGTCGCTCCACGGGATTTCCGATTTTAACTTCTCGATTGACGCGCCCGTCTAAGGAATCCGTGCGTGATTGAAAGCGGCCCAATCACGGTGCCGTTCCCACGGGAGCACTTCCGCCGGATACACGCCGAGGCGGCAACGATGCGGCTCGGGCGAAACGCGCGGAATCAAACAGCGTGTGCAGCACACGGCAGGAGCTCTCTCTTTCCCAGGACTCGAATCGCCCCTGGGTCGCGTTTACGGCAGAGCGCGAGGATCAATTGGGTTCACACATCGGGCACGAAGCACGCAAACCGGATGGGGGATTTGGCGCGAGAACGAGAAAAAAGTTGTAACTTGACTTAAACTCTAACTTAAACTTAAAAAAAAAAAAAAAAGAACGTGAAATTCAAAGCCAAAATAAATCTCGCTCAAATCTACTTTCCCGCAGCGAACTCTTTACGAAGGTAGCCCGATGTTCTTTGTGAGATCCACTTTAATATAAAGTGATCTCTAAGCTCTAGACGTTACAAATTACGGGCTCGCCTCGTTTCTTCGCCCGCGATTTCATTACCGAAACTAAACGCGAAGGGCAGAGGGTAGTTTGGAGAAATCCTTACGATCGCCGTGACGCCGGGATGGTTGAACACCATAACAGGTGGCATTTCTTGCGGTACGTATCGGTAGAACTCGTTGCCGTCTTTGTACCACTTGACCGAATACAACTTCTCGCCGTCCAGATTAAAGTTGCACTGGAGATCTATAGTTTCTCCGCGTACCACGTACTTCGGCACCATCAGCTCCAGCATCCTCAGGCCGTTTGTTTCTGCAAGCACACATAAGGCAGAGGCGAGATCAGAGAAAAGGCGTGCAAAAGTAAGTGTGTGTGTGTGTGTGTGTGTGTATGTATGTGAGTACTTGTGTTGAACGTTACGCGAATGTGAAGCGCTTCCACGGCAAGAGGTCTTGCTTAAGGAAATTAAACTAGACACGGATAATTGGAACAATAGTTTTCGCAGTCGTTTTTGCCGAACATTTCGCTCTATTGTTGAAAACGAATGTTAGTTGGCGTGCTAATAGCAGTTTCTAATTAGAATAACAACGGGGCCAGATGTATTATGGCGACCTAGAATTACAGATTGCGCAATGCAACAGTCGGATCCGTCTTTTTAATAGATCTGAGAAAACTAATATAAATCCGATTTCGTGATTAATTTTCTTCAATTTTTTTCTCATTCTTATTTCAATAAATGTATGGCTTGCAATTTATAAATAAGCATTGGATTGCAAGTGCGCTGAGTTCTTTAATTAGCTCCGCTGTGTATTGGAATAATTCTTCAGAAACAAAGTACAGAAAATTGACGGTGGAAAAAATTTTCTTCTCAGATCACAATAAATGAACGGAAGAGTAAAGAATAGAATTCTACAATTAATATTATCACATAAATTATCTAAAGTCGGAATGTTATTTATTAATAATGTTATATAATTTATGTGTTATATAATTTATTAATAATGTTATTTATTACAAGTGACTTCTCTCCACGCGTCTTTTTCTCACAAATGAAAGCAATGATAGCGTCGCCACTTCGATGGGTGTGTAAAGCGACATGCAGTTATCTCATAATAGCGTTGCTATTTGAATGTTTAAAAATTCACAGCGAATCGCTCGGGATGCGCGCGACGAGGTTCCTGACGGCAAATAAACGACAAAGCCCGGGCGCGCAACTCGGGAAGATCGCGATCCCCCTTTGCGAAATGCTCGGGTGACGTCACTCCAAGGGAGAAAGATCAAAGGAGCCGCGAGAGGAATTGACAGCGGGCGGCGCGGCGCGTCGTCGTCTCCTTTTCCTGAAGATGTGCACTGACGACTTGAATCACCGGGAATATTCCGCGAGAATAGTATATAATCCGCAGAATACACCGTTGTGCCTGTTAAAGGAGATATAGAGAGAAGGAGAGGAAGTCTGCGGCGAACGCGCCGACGAAACCGGAGAGGAAGAGGACGATGATGACGATAACGTCAGGTAAACAGGTGGTTGCCGCGAACGACGACGACAGCTACGACGTTTATAAACAAGGTATTAATTTCTTGACACATTCTTACTCGCGAGCGTAACAAATTAAATGTTCACGTGTGACTTTATCATTTTCGACTGCGCTGAATATTGTTGATTGAAAAATAAGATAATTTATTCAAACAAAATATTTTCAGAACGAAAGAAAATTGCCGTAAACTATATAAATTGGAAGCTTCGTAATAAATTAGAAATTTCGAAAGTAGAAGGATGATGAAAGGTTGATTAAAGATCTCAAAGAAATTGATAATTTATTTTAATTTCTTTTTCTTTTTTTTTAGAAAAGAGAAATCTTTCTCGATTGGTCTGTGTGAGATTAAATTAATTAATTCGCACTTTATTATTCTGATCCTCGCCGGCGGACAGAACGTAATTAGAAGAGTTAAGTAACGAAGCTGTTTTTTTTAAATTTAATATTCGACAACACACAGACGGTTCTGAGTCATCCTATAAATTTTAATGGAAGGCGTCGATATGAGCGCGAAGCCGCTTCAAAGCACCGGTGGGAGAGGGACACGGAATTTCCAGTGCGACGGGGGTTAAGTGAAAATGTACTTTTGATTGCCGCCTTTACGTGGACAGAGGATAAGTACAAGGGATAAGCACAAAGGATAAGCGCAGAGAATAAGTACGAGCATGGGCGTCGCTGGAATTTTTCTCAACTCCGTTGCTTCCCTTTCATGATTATTTCAATTATCCTGCTAATAGTGTACAGTAAAATTTTCTGCCTTCCATAACAAGCGAGTTCTATGAAAATTATAATGAAGCGGTATTTCTCGACTGCACTTTTTTTCTCAGTCGAGAGAAAGCCGGAGAAAGAGAGAACTGTCTCTCGGCGCCCATGACCGCGCGTCGTGCAATTTCTGGAGAACGACAGGGATAAGAAATAATTCCCGCGCTTCGTTACGCCCGCGTATTGCGAAGACGAGGAGAAACTGGCTTACGGCTTTCTGGCAGGGTGACCATATTTTCCTATGCGCAAGTAGGACAATAGCGCGGAAAAACCGAGACTGTTTCTAGCACTGAAAACTCTATTATCTCGAACGAGAAAGATTAAAAGCAATTTAACTAATAAGTGAGAGAAGAACTTTTATCTGTCGCAACAAATCAAAGTGGGCAAATTGATGTACGAAGGAGAATTGCCCAAATTACTAGAATTCTACAGCTATGTCCCGTTAGATTCCTTTCGATTGTAATTTTGTGCCCGGACACTAATAAACGTCACCGACGGACTGCATTACGGCCATGTGACGATGCGTGACACGGATAATTGTGGGAGCCGATAGATCGCGTCGCGCGCCCGAACAAACGGGCGGATTCTCACGCGTGCCTGCGCCGTATTTGCCCGTATAAAGGAAGCGCGTGCTATATCGAGAATCGGGCGCTATATCGATATCGTGCCATTCCTTTTTTTTTTCGGCCCGCGCTCCACGCTCCATTTAACGCGAAACTTGGCGCTAAACTCGTTCGCGGAAGCTGTGATACTGCGATAGATCGACGCTCCGTCAGACTGATGTAAATCAAAATTGTGCAAACAGGATTTTGCAAAGATATCTGAGATATTGCTGATATGTCGAAACGATTAATTATTGTATTTTTGAAAAATATTTAATAGTGTGACATATCGTGACACATCTTCGTATTTAAAAAGAAATTACATATTGAAGTACGTCGTACGAAGTGTTTTGATGTATTTTTCTTCATTTCCAGAAATAGTTAAACATGGTTAAACCGTCAATTTGCGGCGTCAAAGTTAACGCGATCGACTCGAATGATATTTTCGCGTTAAACGGAAATCGAATACGGTCGGCGCTAACGGAATTATTGGTTTTTCGTTGATAGAAATCTATTCCAATCGTAAACATAATTGATTGCATTATCCTGTATATCCCGAAATTATTTTCTGTCTCGCAGAATTCAGTATTTTACTTTTAAGCAATGATGAATATCTTTAAACAATTGTATTTATTAAAATGGAACGAAACTGATAAAAATACCTTTATTCTGTTGATTTAAGTTAAAAAAGTGAAATTAAATGTTTTGTAGATTTACACCGATGAGAAACATTCGGTGCGGAAATCTATCGGGTTTGCTTATCTACGTCGTGGGTTTTTGCGAATGCCTCGTAGCGTCGCGACGTTGAGCAACTTCCTTAATAAATGTCCCTCGGCCCTGTTATTTTATTATAAAACTTCCGAGGTCACGATGAAGCCCCCGGCCTTTAATATCCGGGATACGGGACGCGATTCGTCATTTTTTGCCGGCATTCCCCCGTTACGATGGACCGCCGCGTCGCTTTGATTTAATATAAAATAATGCGAGTGCTCGCACGCTCTCGCTGTCTCCTCGCTCGTATAAATTATATCAACTCTTTTGTCCGATTCGTATAATTCTGCTTCGCGACGTGGCTTGCGTGTTAAACGACGATGACGTTTCAGTACTCCGGTTATTTTCGAAGAAATTCACCATCACCTGTCACAATTTTATCGCAATGAATTATCTCTGAGGATCGACTAATCCGACGTATCCATTTGATGTCGCATTAAGCAGCTGTCGAATAAAATTAAATGACACACGTCATCCGAGTGTCTTGAGTCTTTTCAGAAAATATCCCGACGTGCTATTACGCGACGTGCCATTACAAAGGTGTAAGAAATATCGTAGGAAATTTTTCCCAAGTACGCTGATGAGCGACAGACATGTAATCTGGCATCACGTGACTCTCGCGTTAACCAACGCGACATCGAACACTCGCGACTCGAGGGTTTCCATTTTCTGCTTCTTTTTCTCTTTCTTCCGAGTGAAAAAAATACCTTTGCGTGTTACGGCAACAGTATGAAAAGACCGCTTTAACAAATTGCCTTTTAACGACCCGATACCCAGGCGATTCCGTCCTACTCCGGGATGCATTCCGCAATGAGGCCGTGTGTAGCGCGTGGCCGGTTAATTTAACGTAAACTTTCGGCGCGTTCCGACCTCCCGCCGCTGCATAAAATATGCGAACATAATGAATTTGATCGTGCGCTGGGGCCGCCCTCTCTCGTGCCGTGCTTTTTTCCCGTTTTTTCATCGCGTCGTGAGATGAATCGTACACAGAAGGGTCAGCGTCCATAAATTTCCGCCGATTTAACCCTATTATCGGGGGATCGTGGCGGTCGCGACGGCCGTATCCGATACCGAAGGCCGCTCTCTCCGCTGGCGGCTGAGAATCTAAAAAATTTGTAAAACGCGAGAGATTCGACGTGCCTCCGCAAACCATGCAACCACGCGCGCCAGAGAGTTTGGCATTGTCTGAATAAATTCTTATTACGGTTTTATTTGAACGAAAGGTTGTGAGAAATATCGAAAGAGAGGGGCGCAAAAGAGGCGTGTTTTATATTTCGTTCATTAATGCAATAAGAATTAACATTTTATTTAATATTTCTTCGTCGTGCGCGAACACGACGCTTTGTCCCTTATTCGTTATTTGTTATGCGCGAATTTATTCAACTTTGCCGCACGCGTAGATAAACTTCGATCCGTTTTTAAACCCATTTTCTCCATTGTTCGTACGACGTGCCGTCGATTCCGTGGAATAACTACCGAATCAAATAGAATAACATTTAGACGCGCGCCGTTGTTCGGCTCTGTTGGCGTAATGCAGTCTGTAACAATAGCCCCGCCATTATATCCTGCAGTTTGCGAAATTGTAAAAAGATACGTCAATTAAAAATTTCGAGGGAAAAATATTTAAATCGCGCCCATTTAT